AACTGTCTCAAAAACAAAAACCAAAAAAACTCACTCGCCCCGGCCGGGCACGGTGGCTCAAGCCTGTAATCCCAGCACTTTGGGAGGCCGAGGCGGGTGGATCACGAGGTCGAGAGTTCGAGACCATCCTGGTCGACATGGTGAAACCCCGTCTCTACTAAAAATACAAAAAATCAGCTGGGCATGGTGGCATGTGCCTGTAATCCCAGCTACTCAGGAGGCTGAGGCAGGAGAATTGCCTGAACCCAGGAGGCGGAGGTTGCGGTGAGCCGAGATGGCGCCATTGCACTCCAGCCTGGGTAACAAGAGCGAAACTCCGTCTCAAAAAAAAAAAAAAAAAAAAAACTCACTCACCCCGAAGGGAGGGCATTAATTATCAACTACTGGTATATAATGTGCGGAATATGTCAGCAGTTCTCAATGTTTTGGTCTCAAAACTTCTTTATGCTCTTAAATATTACTGAGAACCCCAAGGAACTTTGAATTATGTAGAATATATCTACTGATATTTCCTATACTAGAAGTTAAAATGAGAGTTTTAAAATACTTATTGATTAATTTTGAAATAGCAATAACAAATCCATTATCTAATTATCTATTAACATAAATAACATATTTTTATGAAAAATAAGCTATTTTTGCGTATTTAAAAAATATCAGACTTAGGTTCTCGCTTCTCTTATCAGCTTCTGCATTTAATCTGTTGTTTTGATTGACATATATGAAGAAAACCTGGCCTCACACAGACATGTAGTTGAAAAAGTGAAGACCACAAAGATTCCCTCAAAGGATAATAGGACAACTTCAAGAACAGCTGGTATACATCAAGCACGAGAGCCAACATGCTGTTCAGCTGTAGCTGTTCAACTTGGAAGCAGACTGCCTGGATTTTAATCTCAGATGTGTGGGCAAGCTACCTAAATATCCCGTGCCTCAGTTTCCCCTTAGGGAGAGGGTCAAATGACTTGTTTTCTATGGCAAGACTAGAGCAGTGCTTGGCATATACTAAGTGCTCAGTAAATACTGACTTATAATTATTGGCTCCGTGCCTGGCACAAGTAGGAGCTCCCTTTTCTTCCCAGGCTGGGCATCCCCTCAGAAATCATCTTTCACCTGCCAGGAATGGCCTGGGTTCCATGCTCTCCAGGGCTGCCCTGAGACCTCAAGCTCCAAGGGAAACCCAGCTAAGCCCAGTGTGTGCCTTGTGCCATCTCTCTGGCCACAGGCCCAAAGCAGCCTTTCGGTGTGTGTGTGCCAGCCTCCTGCGCGTCGGACGGGGTGTACCTGCGTCGGAGCTGAGACACTTTCCTCCCCAGCAGCTGGCGATTAGGAAGTCACTCTCTTTAATGGATGAGGCCTAATCAGCCTGCTGATAATTACCAGGCCCAGAACGTGGTTGAGACTCAGGAAAGATGATCCCCGAAGACAAAAGCCACTTAAATCCTGGCATTGACCACGGGTCCCCTTGGTAACCGATAACTCTTAGCACAATTTAGCCACTGAGCTAATTGATGTTCTCCAAGGCAGTCGGCTCATACCCCGGCTGTCAAAATGGGCTCTAATTGGTGACATCCTTCAGGTAAGAAGCCTCACATGTTCTCATGCTACCCAAGAGACCCCAAGCAGGAACTGAGTCTCTCATCAAACCAGTCCTGTGATTGCGTCCAGTTAATCAAACTAAGGTTTGCAGAAATAACTAATTAAAAAACATATCAGAGGAAGTCATGACATTGAGGTGTTTCACAGCGAAGCAGGACAGGCACCTTCCCTGAATGTGAGAGGCAACTCCTTGAAGAAATGTTCCCCAGCTATCAAGGATGCCCAGGTGAGGCACAGGTGTAGTTGAAAAACCACTGGACTTGGAGTCTTCCAGAACTGGGCATGGGTCTCGTGAGCCTCAGGTACATCACTTCATCTTGCTGAGTCAGGCCTTTCTCACCGTAAAGTGAGGGTATTCATGGTGCTGGAAGTGCCTTGTGTAAGGCCCAGCACATGGTGGCTTCTTTATATATATATATATATATATATATATATATATATATATATATATATATAACTGCATTTTAGGTTCCGGGGTACATGTGAAGAACATGCAGGATTGTTGCATAGGTACACACATGGCAATGTGCTTTGCTGCCTCCATCCCCATCACATATATCTGGCATTTCTCTCCATGCTATCCCTCTCCAACTCCCCACCCCCAACTGTCCCTTCCCTAGTCCCCCACAACAGACCTCAGTGTGTGATGCTCCCCTCCCTGTGTTGGTGTGTTCTCATTGTTCAACACTCACCTATGAGTGAGAACATGCGGTGTTTGCTGAGAATGATGGTTTCCAGGTTCATCCATGTCCCTACAAAGGACACAAACTCATCGTTTTTTATGGCTGCATAGTATTCCATGGTGTATATGTGCCACATTTTCCCTGTCCAGTCTATCATCAATGGGCATTTCGGTTTGTTCCAGGTCTTTGCTATTGTAAACAGTGCTGCAATGAATATTCGTGTGCATATGTCCTTATAATAGAACAATTTGTAATCTTTTGGATATATACCCAGTAATGGGATTGCTAAGTCAAATAGAATTTCTATTTCTAGGTCTTTGAGGAATCGCCACACTGTCTTCCACAATGGTTGAACTAATTTACACTCCCAACTGTGTATGAGTGTTCCTATTTCTCCACATCCTCTCCAGCATCTGTTGTCTCCAGATTTTTTAATGATCGCCATTCGAGCTGACGTGAGATGGTATCTCAACGTAGTTTTGATTTGCATTTCCCTAATGACCTGTGATGATGAGCATTTTTTCATGTTTTTTGGCTTCATATATGTCTTCTTTTGAAAAGTGTCCATTTTTTGACGATAGGGTGTCAACTTTAGATCTCTCCTTGCTTCTTAGGTGGGCATTTATGGCTATAAATTTTCCTCTAGACACTGCTTTAAATGTGTCCCAGAGATTCTGGTATGTTGTGTCTTTGTTCTTGTTGGTTTTGAAGAACATCTTTATTTCTGCCTTCATTTCATTGTTTATCCAGTCAACATTCAGGAGCCAGTTGTTCAGTTTCCATGTAGTTGTGCAGTTTTGAGTGAGTTTCTTAATCCTGAGTTCTAATTTGATTGCACTGTGGTCTGAGAGACTGTTATGATTTCCATTCTTTAGCATTGGTCCCCCCACCGAGTGGGACTGTCCCGGGTCCAGCTGTGCCTTGCTGTGAAACTTTGAATCTGGAGCGTTTCAGATTGCTGGTGTTTGTAGGGGTGGGACCAGCCGAGCCAGATCACCTGGCTCCCTGTTTCAGCCCTCTTGTTTTCAGTTGAATGGGCGACTCTGTCTCTAAGGCGTTCCAGTTGCCAGTTGAAATGGTGCACAGGTACAATCACTCACAAGGGTAAAGGGAAAAACATTAAAGAGCTGGAGGGAGTGGGCTTCTTACTCTTCAAATGGTCTCATTTCTGAGGAAGAATCCACATCCTACAAATCAGTAAAGTTTGACAGCAGGAGAGGTGGGATGTGTCCCTGGGCTTAACTTCTCCACAGTCAGCTACAACTCAACTTTCCTCAAGTGCAAATGGACCTGGTAGCCTGGCCTCCTGGGCAGTCACAGGAGCCAATAAGAAAGTGTCTGTGAACACTGAGCACCCAGAGAGTGCTCTATGGGCAATCTCTACTCTTTTTAGAGGGCCTGCCTTCAGAGGGGGTCTATGGGCAGAGGGAATCTTCTAGGGACCATTTGCCCTAATGGTGACAGTGAGTTGGTTAAGGGCTTCCAGAAAGCAGCTGGGGCATATGGAGAGTCAAGCCCAGGGGGAAGGCCAGATCTACATGCCTGACCTCGGGGCAGGACCCTCATCTCTGTGTTGGTTCCTTCATCTGAAAATGAGGAGGTGTTGATTTCTCATTCATCAACTGTTCAGTATGTCAGAGGGTTCTTAGGAGCACTGTGGGGAAGATGGTGTGAATGCATCTTGTCAACCCCAGATTCTCCTGTCTCTTCACTCCCCACCCCACCTGAACCATGAGCTCCAAAGTGGGAGAAGCTGGCTCTTGGACAGCTTTCTTGCTCCCCACTCCCTCTGCCCCAGAAGGTGTCCAAAAGCTGTTTGTAGAAAAGTTGAAAAGCCCATTCATCCACCAAAGAGAGGGTGATCTAACTAATTCAAAGTCTAAGGCTAAGGAGATTTGGGAGTTTGGTTTAAGTCAGAGGTTGCAAACTGGCCATGAGTGGGCCAAATTCATCTCAGACAAGTTACTTAATTTTTGGCTTCCTCATTAGTAAAATGAGCATATTAATATCTGGAATGACTGTCAAGGATTAAAATAATTAATATACATGAAGTGTTGAGGACAGTGTCTGACACATGAGTGTTGTGTATTTGTTTTATTATTATTAATATTATTATTAGAGTCACATGACATTAGTCTTTGAATTTAAGCGTCTTCACATGACTTCCTCAGTTAACTCTAGTTCACACTACTCCCTCCTGTCCTGCCTCGAGCCCCAGAAGATCTCTGGTTTGTGTCTCCTGACTGCAGCCTGGTCCTCTGCCCTCTTTGTTCCTGTTGGTTAACAGGCTGTTTGGTAACACAGATTGTCAACAGAACTATGAAGATTACAGACCTGAGCCAGACCAGTTCTCCCCTCTCACCTCCCCTCTCACCACCATCCCCACCTCCCAAATCAGGCAAACTCAAGGCAGGTCCCTGAGCTGGCCTCTCAGACTCATGTCTCCACCTCAGCCAACTGTGTATCTTTGGGCAAACCCTTCCTCCTCTCCAGGCCTTAGTCTCCCCAGGAGTCAAACGGGCTCCAGAACCCCATCCACCTCCAAAGTGTGTTCTGAAATAGGGACAGTAGAGAGGACTTGTCATCACCCCTGGGTCCCTAATTCCCTCTGCAGCAGAGCTGGGAATTCTAGTCCCCTCCCCTTTTAAATATCCCTCTCAATGTGAAGGAAGAATCTCATGCCAGCTGCGATAGAACAGCAACCACAGAGCTCCATGATTATCTGGATGCAGGTTTTATTATCATTAGGGGAAAGGGCTTAGAGGGTTATATACAAACCACAATTCTTGGGCGATGTTTCAATATTCCCATCCATGTTTATCCCACAGCCACACAAAGCGCAACACCATAGGGCAGTCTCCTACATATGCTTTTCCCAGCAGAACACAGCTGTGGGTCAGGGCTCTACCCACCCACAAAAGGATGCCCAGAAAGGGGAAGATACTGGGTCATAGGGATGAAGTTTACATGTGGAGAATCCTGTCAGATGGGGTAGGAGATGGAAGCTGGATTTACACATCAATGCTTCAGTCCCACCCCACCCTCACTGGCTGCCCTCCCCAGGGGCTCCCTGCCCCACTTGGGGAGCCTTTGCAAGACACAAAAGGACCATCTTAGCCAGAGCTAAGGAAGGAGCAGGCCTGTGGGGGTGGGGGAGAAAGGGGTTCTAGGATCTGCCCCCTTGCCTGTGGTGCTAAGTGGAAGAATATGAGGTTTAAACTTCTAGGCTGATTTTCTCACATGCCTAAAGGAAGCAGACAAGGCCAGGGGCTGGGATGTCTGTGAATATGGGGCTGGGAGGGAGGGGCTCAGACTTATGGTTAGGGATCTAATGAGAGAATGCAGAGGTCATGAAGGGTGAGGCACACAGGGCTCGAGACATCCTTAGACCACAAACTCGACTTCAGGGGAAACTGGGTTCACTCCTCCGGGGGCTCCCTGACCCAGGCCGCCCACCGGCCAAGGTTGTGTTGCTTTTCCTCAGCTCCCTGGCTCCTGCTCAGGTCATCCAGGAGCCCCAGCAAGAGGACCGCTTGACTACAGGCTCCCTGGGGCTCACAGGAGCCTCCCACGGCCCTCTTGCCTGGATGTTGGCGTTTCTCAGGCATCAGCTCTTCCTTTCTCTCTTCCTCCTCCTCCCCTTCTTCCCAGCTCCTTTGAGCCTTGGGATCCACCAGCCGTCTGCCTGGGTGCTGCCGCCTGGTGACAGCATACCCAAGCCAGTGAGAGCGCCGGCCAGGGTGCTGCCGCTTGTGCTGGGTTGCATCAACTGACCATGAAGCCTCGTCTTCCCGTCGGCCAGGGTGCTGCCGTTTGTGGGGTCCCACAGCCCCCCCTTCTTCTTTTTCCTCTTCAACTCCCACTTCCTCCTCCTCCTCTCTTTTGCCTGGATGCTGGCGTTTGGAGAGCCAGTCAGGTTGAAGGATCTGGGACGCTGGGGAGGGAAAGAGGTCAGTGAGGGGCCTCTGACCCCTGTAGTAGGCAGGTGCTTGAGTGCTCACTCCAGCTCTCCTCCCAGGCAGGGCACATTGCAGCTCCCACTCGGGCAAGGTCTTGCACCTGCCCCTCAGGTCTCACAGATACACACACACAACAGTCAATGGCATTGCCTCTGGGTTCCAGTCGCAGCTCTGTGGCTCCCTAGTTGGGTGACCATAGGTGTGACCATACACGACTCAATTGGTCTCTGAGTCTCAGTTTTCTTCTGTGTAAAATGGTAATTACATAGTTGTTACGAAGATCAAACTGTGATAAAGTGTTTGAAGTGCTGAGAATAGTGTCTGGCACAGAAGTGACTAGTCAATAGTAATTCAAACTGTTACACAAAGAAACTCTCCCTAGTACACAGAAGCTTCCCCACTGAGGGCCGGCTGTATGTGAAACATTCCCAGCATTGAGAGAGGGGAGGAATCTGACCCCAAGGAATGGTCAACTCCAGACCCTACCCAGGCGCGACCAGGAAGGGGTTCTGAGCTTTTGAAAGGCAGGAGGCTAGATGACCAAGCCTCCCTTCCCTTCTGCCTCCAGGTTTCCCCCACCCTCCCGGCAGCCTAGCCCGACAGCCCCCCACCCCGCCCCCGACAGCCCCATCCACTCACCAGAGTGCTCACCCTGGTCCCCCTGCTGCCGCAGGATGTTTTCCCGGAGGAAAAGGAGGCGCTCCGCCTGGCGCAGGAGGTCCTCCAGGCCGAGACGCTCCGCGACGGTCACCGCCTCCTGCTGGGCTGCCTCTGGCTGAGCACGGCCGCCGGGAACACCAGTCAGGTTCAGGGTCAAAGCCAGGGCAAGCAGCAACCAAGGGCCAGGCATCGCGGCGTCTGGGATAGGGGACAGAGCCTGAGCGCACCGAATCCCAGCACATCCCTCTCCGTCTCCCCCGACGCCCGCCAGGAACAAACCATGCACGGTTCAACCGCCCTCCCAGAAGCAGAACCACCGCCCCTTGTGCGGGAGCGGGAGCAGCGGCGGGGTCTGCTCGGGCTTTGCGTCCACACCTGTTACCTCTAGGCGTCTTCGCCCCCTCCGGTGCCTGTAATGCCTGTGCCCAGTTCTGCTTGCGGAAGGGAGGAGGCAGTGGGAACCTCATTGCCAGCGCCACCGCCACCCTTCAACGTGACGCGGAGCTGGAGGGCCAACACTGGGACTGCCTCGCCGGGTGTGCAACCACTGAGATTGCAGCGCCAGGCACAGCAGGGACGCTAACGGCTGCGTCCCCCCAAGACTGCCCCCAAGGTCCCCTTCGCCACACTGGAATTCCAAGCTCCATGGCCGACGCCCTCATTCCAACGGGAAGATCCCATTTCTAGTGCTAAGATTCGGGTTCTAAAGCTCCATGTCTATTTGCAAAGCTGTGATTCTATTTCTAATGCTAAGCTTTCATGACTAAGCCAGGAATCTGATACTAACGCTAAAATCCTAATTTCAACGCTAATTCCAACGCTAAAATTCTATTTCTATTGTTGAGATTCGGATTCGAACCCTAGGTTCTCACGCCGACGCCCTGAATGCCCAGTTCTGCCCGGCGGCACCCGGGGAGGGGGGTACTGAGGAGCTCCAGCGAGCGCCACCGGTGTGCCCCCGCGGTGCCTCCCGTCGGGTTCCCGGCCGGCTCTCGGGGAGGACCCGGGGGTGCGAGCGCAGCGCCCACCTGTGCACCGGCCCAGCGCTCCAGGAAGTTCTTGGAGAACGGAAAGCGAGGGCGGGCCGAGAGGGCTCCCGGACGCAGCCTGCGGAGAGAGAGGGGTCGGGGCGGTTACCTGCCAGGCGTGGGCTCCACAAGATGGGTCCGGGATCCGGGGACTGGGAGTCCGCAGTCGGCAGGTCAGGAGTCCGCAGCGCTGAGGATCCCGGGCGCCGGCCGAGCGCTCTTCCGCGGGGCAGCCGCTTATATCTGCTCGAGGCGGCGGCTCCGGTGAGGTCAGCGGGGAGGGGTCGCGGCCGCCGGGAAGGGGCGCTGACGGCAGCCGGCCCCGCGGGACCCCGCCGCCCGCCCGCTCCTCCGGAAATCTGGGGCGGGGACGGCGGGGACCCGAGCGGGGGCGTGGAGGCACTGGCTGCAGGATGGGACGCTGGCGCGGGGTCGTTTCTACACCGCCTCCAGTGGAGATCTGCCGATGAGAACACTCGATTAGGGGGCAAAGGGACAGAGAGATTGAGAGAAGCACACCAGTAAACAGAGGCGCACGAGAGACAGAGAGGGCGAGGCAAAGACCGAGATCCACACGGAGACAGACGCACAGAGCAACACAGGGCAGACACACACGAAAGGGACACGGCCACAGAGACCAGTGCAGAACGCACACGGGCGAGAGTAGGGCGCGAGAGAGAATGGGGGACAAGTGGGATTGGAGCTCTGTCTTTTTTAGAGACAGGGTCTCACTTTGTCCCCCAGACTGGAGGCAGTGGCGCAGCACAGCTCACTGCAGCCTCGAGCTCCTGGGCTCAAGTCATCCTCCTGCCTCGGCCTCCTGAGTCTCTGAGATTACAGGTGTGAGCTACCCTGCAGGCTCTGGGGTGCTAATCTTAACTGTGTCATTCCTGGCTAGTGCCTCTGCTTCTCTGGGCCTCGGTTTTCTCCTCTGTGCAATAGGAGCCCAGAGGACAGCTTCAGAATTCTGAAACTGGCGGCCTATAGGTTACAACCAGTTCACGGACAATTTTGATTGACTTCCATAGTGTTTTGAAAAAATCTGAATAACCAACATTTTAAAACCAAGATAACTTAGAAAAAAAATGTGGATTTTTGTTTTCTCTTGAAAAGGAGTGGGCCCACATTTCCTCCTGCCAACAGCCAGCTGAAGCTGAGCCTGGCTGTCCGGGCCACCACAGTCCCCACCACTCCCTAATGTCTCCCAATGCATTGCCCCTGTCACTGAGGTGGGACATTGGAATCTGCAGCCCCTGCACCAGAAATCTATTGGAGTTCACCCTACTCTGGCAAAGGAGGGGAGGGGACGCAGGGAGGAGAAACACACAGTGCCAAGGAGCTTGTCCCCCAATCAGTCCCCAGAGTCCCAGATGTGGGACTGCCACATCTAACCCTGGTGACTGCCTCTATCTTTCAACTTTTTCAGACAGGGTCTCATTCTGCCACCCAGGCTGGAATGCAGTGGTGCAATCTCAGCTCACTGCAGCTTTGACCTCCTGGGCTCAAGGGATTCTCCCACCTCAGCCTCCCAAGTAGTTGGGACTACAGGCAGGCACTGTAATTTTTTTGGTTAATTTTTAAATTTTCTTGTAGATACGGAGTCTCTATATGCTGCCCAGGCTGATCTCGAACTCCTAGACTCTAGCGATCCGGCCCATCTTGAAACATTTAACAAGCACCCACTATGGTGTCAGGCTCCCTGGTAGGTCCTGAAGGCTAGAAGTGAATTAGGCTTAGCCCCAGCCTTCAAAAAGTTCAGAGTTATTGAGGGAGACTGGCTGAAAACCAGACTGACTCTGACAAGGGGTGTGCAACAACTCACCTGCCAGTTGGTAAGCAGGCAGTTGGCAGTAGTTGGAGAGAAAACAGAGTCACTGTGGAGGGTGATGTGGGCTAGGAGAAAAGTCTGGATGCAAGGTAATGAAGCAAGGAATTCAGAACTGGAGCTACTGAGTCTGCCAGGAAATGTCCAGAAGTTTCACACAGGGAAAGGAAGCAGAAACTTGAAGGATGCAGGAGAGTTGGCCAGGCCCACTTATAGAGAACCACATTTTTGGCACAGGGAACACATGAGTGAAAGCATCTCTGACCTCTGGACAGTCCCAGCGATTTTCTGCTTCACTACTGCACAATATTTCTTCAGTCTACAACTTTAATCAGGACACCCTAGTGATGTGACAAAGGATTCCAAAGGCGTTTAATTGTTACTCCTTCCCTTGGTGGAGTATCCAACTTTCCTGGCACATCCACACCTACCATCTCATTTCACTTTCTCATCACTGGGAGATAAACAAGGTGGGGACTATCAGTCCCACTTTACAGATAGAGACACAGAGGCCTGCAGGGGCAAAGTGACTTTGAAGGTTAGAAGTGAAAGGGAACTTTCATTTCATTTCATTATTTATTTATTTATTCTGAAACAGAATCTCTGTTGCCCAGGCTGGAGTGCAGTCACACAATCTTGGCTCACTGCAACCTCTGCCTCCCAGGTCGGAGCAATTCTCCTGCCTCAGCCTCCCAAGTAGCTGGGATTACAGATGCACACCATCATGCCTGACTGATCTTTGTATTTTTAGTAGAGATGGGGTTTCCCCATGTTGGCCAGGCTGGTCTTGAACACCTAACCTCAAGTGGTCCGCTTGCCTCAGACTTCCAAAATGCCAGGATTATAGGAATGAGCCACCCTGCCTGGCCAGAAGGGAACTTTTAGATCACCAGCTAGAGTTCTTTCCTCATGTTTAGGTGAAGAAACAGGTCTGGAGAGATGTCCTGACTCCCAAGCACAGTGTGCCTTCAGAGTCAAGGGGTGGGTTCAAACTGCAAACCTCAGGCTTGATCTCCCAACCAGACCCCAGAATTTGAAGAAATGCCACCCTAGCTAAGATGAAATCAGACAGACCTATTGTCTTTTGTACACAATGATGAGGCTGTAAATTATCCAATCTTTTGGGTGGCAATCTGAAAATTTAACACATATGTAGCTTCCACGAGATAATTCTTTTTCCCAATTTATCATACAGATACTCCCACCTGTACATGAGAATGTATACACAAGGATATTCAGTGCAGCATGGTTTATAGAAGCCAGAATTGGAAACAGCCTGAATGTCTGTCCATCAAAAGGGGGACACTTAAATCAACTGGGACCCATCTAAAACTATGGGATACTATGCGGCCGTTAAAAGACTGCAGCCGTTCCATATGCACTCACGTGGAATAAACTCCAAGAAGCAGAGTGGAGAGCTATGTGTACATCATGCTGCCATTTGTGGGCTGGGAGGAAGATGGGCTGCCAGGCTTTTATGCTCTTTTTGTTTTGCTTTGTTTTGTTGTTGTTTAGAGATGGGGTCTTGCACTGTCACCCAGGTTGGAGAGCAGTGGCACAATCAGTAGCTCACTGCAGCCTCAAACTCATGGGCTTTCCTCAACTTCCTAAAGCACTGGGATTATAGGCAAGCACCAGCACTACGCCAGGCTAGATTTTTGTTTTTGTTTTTGTTTTGTAGAGACAGGGTCTCACTATGTTGCCTAGATTGGTCTCGAGTGCCTGGCCTCAAGCAATCCTCTAGCCTAGGCCTCCTGAGTGCTGGGATTACAGACCATAGCCTTCTTATGTTCTTGGACAAGACCTGTGCAGAAGGAGATCTAGGAACCGGGGAAAGGGAGGACAGAGAAAATTGTGCATAGGCTTGCTTTTCACTGTCAGCTCTTAGCGCTGTCTGAATTTTCTCTCTGCAGCATTACCTATCCACAAACAAACAGCACCGAAACCCCCAACAACGAGAACAACAGAAATCCCATCTAAGGCACAAAAGGTGTGATAAGCATGGATGCATGGGAAAACTGCCTCCTGAAGAGTGACATGGCAGGAACATTGCACTCTGATGAGCCCATTTGGTGCCTTTCTATCATCAGGGATTTAAGTTGCTTACCTATTTGGAGGATAGGTCCCGGATGGGTGGGGAGGAGTCAGGAGAGCTCTCACGCAGCCCTTGGAACAAGAGGGGATGGTACAGGCATCTACAGTGTCCTTAGCAAGCCAACTCCCTTCCTCCCTCCTTTCCTTCCTTCCATCCATCAATCCTTCCTTTCTTTCTTCTTTCCCTCCTTCCTTCCTCCCTCCCTCCCTCTCTTCCTTCCTTCCTCCCTCCCTCCCTCCCTTTCTTCCTTCCTTCCTTCTCTCTCTCACTAAACAAATATTTACTGAGCCCCTAGTAGGTACCAGGATCTGTTCTAGACCTTGGGGATTGTATTCACCATGTGTTTCTTTCTGATGCTTTGACATCTGAGGTCCTGCTGACCTTGGAGAGACTTCCAGGGCTAGCCATCTCCTAGAAAGTAAACAACTCTCCTGGAGGCACCCCTTTCATAAGCAAACCAACCAATCCAGAGCTTTCTCTCCCCACCACCTTCTCTATGGAGTTCTCACACTCGGGGCTACTATCGCCGTCCCCTGATCACCTCAGGGCTGCATACCAGACAACTAGGGGACAGCCCTGATGCCCCAGAGCCCACTGAAATTATCCAAACTAGCCAATTCTAAACCGGCTCACTCTGTCTTGCCCGTTCCTTCCTGAGGAAGCCAGAAGAAATGCTTTCACCTGTTTTCCCCTGACTCCCTGTGCCTCCTGACCGACCCTGGTGCTTCCCAAATGGCTCTGCAGATCTTTTTACTTTTTTTTTTTTGAGACGGAGTTTCGCTCTTGTTACCCAGGCTGGAGTGCAATGGCGCTATCTCGGCTCACCGCAACCTCCGCCTCCTGGGTTCAAGCAATTCTCCTGCCTCAGCCTCCTGAGTAGCTGGGATTACAGGCACGCACCACCACACCCAGCTATTTTTTTGTATTTTTAGTAGAGACGGGGTTTCACCGTGGTGACCAGGATGGTCTCGATCTCTTGACCTCGTGATCCACCCACCTCGGCCTCCCAAAGTGCTGGGATTACAGGCGTGAGCCACTGGGCTCTGCAGATCTTGATGTGTCCCCTCCTCTTGGAACCATGAGTAACAAAGATCTGTTGGCCTCGCCATATCTGAATAATAATAAAACCTACATTTTAAAGCAGGGACCCAGGAGGGCAAGAAGTCAGGACCCTGGTCCTTCTCTCACAGAGCTTAGAATCTAGTCAGTGTGTTGTATATATTTTTCTAGCTTGCAATTTTTATTCTCTGATAAGGCAAATGGGCTAGAATCTTAAGACTGTAGTTGCAAGATCCAAGATGGCTGATCACTAGCAGCTCGGGATTGTAGCTCCCAG